GCCTTGCGCACCCATTCGACCGGACTCTCTGACCAGGGTTCGAACCCGTCACGCGCTGGGTCCGGAGTCGCCTAGCCATGGGCCCACAGCAGCTGAGCCACGACCAGACTCAGCGCGCTATGTCTGGTAGCGCTCAAGTGCCGGGTCTAGTCCAGCCAAGGTGACTGGCCGAGTCTAAGGAAGAGTGACCGGACTCTGCCCCCTAGGTCCGGTCCAACCGTGACTCAAGGTTCAGTCCCTCTCCTCACCTCCTTTTCATTTTCTAACACTTCACCATTTCTACCCTTGCCTCCAAGTTGCTAACCACAAAGTGTACAACCCATGTGCACGTGTGTTTGCATTTTTCAAACAATTTTTCAAGGGTTAAAAGATAGCACACTAGGTCCTAATGCATATGCATGATCAACTTCACCTAGCGGCACTTCGACAACTGTTTTAACCAAGATTTTCCCTCTTAATAGTATGGCTATCGATCCTAAATACACTCACACCCTCTATGGTGTCTTGAGTGCCAAAACAAAATCCTATTTATACCTTTGTCTTGATCTCCATAGGATTTTTGTTTTACCTTTCTTCTTTTCCAAGTTGGAGCTTGATCACCATCATCACATGTCCATTATCATCTCCATGGACTTCATCACTTGCTCCATTACTTGGTATGTACCAACCTTGCTCACATCAACACTCATGACAAAGGTTAATACTTAGGTTTCATCGATTAGCCAAAACCAAACTAGGGCTTTAATTGCTTCTTTTGTGGAATGGAGGACTCGTAGAGACACTCTCTGCTGGAATGTAATATGGCGAGATGCATTTGGGCGCTCGAGAAGGAAGAGACAGTGGAGCTCCTGAGTGGATTTTTGGAGAATGATGCTAAGTCTTGGCTAGCTATCATGGCAGAGATCTTACCACAAGAGGACGTCGTTAGAGTGGCAATCATGTTGTGGGCTATTTGGTATGCACGGCGGAAGGCGATTCATGAGAATGTATATCAAAGTTCTCTATCGACGCATTATTTTGTGGATAAGCTTGTGTCAAAATTAGGAGAGGAGGCGCATGTACAGTGGCCACAGGATCGTGTGCGCGAATGGCGGCTGGCATGGATCGCACCCCTCACAAGTGTCATTCAAATCAATGTTGATGCAGCTTTGTCCAAGAATGTATCTATGGCATCGGTGGTAGCAATAGCGAGAGACGAGGACGTGCGTTTTATGGGCACCTCGGCGTTCGTCCTTCGGATCAGGTGATGGAGTCCATCGCGTGCAGAGAAGGGATGGCTCTAGCTTAAGACTTACGAGCTGATAGTATCAGATTGGCTAGTTACTGTCTGAATGTGGTAAAGAGCACCCGACAAGGTGGTCTCGGTGTCTACGGATAGATTATCCGGAAGATCAATGCGAGGAAGACAACATTTAGTAGTGTCGAGTCTGTACATCAGCATATGGACTCAAACACCGTTGCTCATAGAATAGCTTGTAGCTCGATCCATGCCAAGGTAGGGGGTGGCATGTGATTCTTGAATCCACCTAATGGTGTGTGTAATATGCACAATCCTCCTATTTAAATAAAGAGGTGGTGTTGCTAAAAACAGTAGCCCCTTAACTATTGGTTGTATGGTACAACATGACCTAATAGATCTCGTACTAGATGAGATGCAAAAAGAACTCGAACTCTAGTCATGAGGATCGTCCCTCGCACCCTACGCGTGTGCGTCTCATTAAAAACTCCATCCGAAAACCCCCGTGGAAAAAAAGCACCACCTGATATATGTGTAATATGTACAATCTTCCTGGTTAAATAAAGAGGTGGTGTTGCTAAAAAACAGTTGCCCCATAACTATTGGGTCGTATAATACAACATGACCTAATAGAACTCATACTAGACAAAGATGCAAAACGAACTCGAACTCTAGTCACGAGGATCACCCTTCATAACCTCACGCAAGCAGGCCAGATCCAACATCGAGGCGGGATGGGCTCGAGCCCCCACTACACTGCTGCTCGGACCATAGAGCCCCTTCTAAGCCCCTCCTACAAATTTACTCCTATTCAAGTTTGGAAGAAGAGGCTAAAGATGAAATATTATGAGATAAGCGGCTCCTGGTGTGTGCGTCTCATTAAAAACTCCATCCGAAAACCCTATAAAAAAGAACATGAAAAAGAGCACGCACACGACTCTAGTCTATAAAGGGCTTGATCACGTACAGCCGAGAGGATCACCATCTACCTTACCCAGGTCGTTATCCACTGGGTTCACAGTTCTGAATGTAGGAGACTCTTGTTCTGAATTTATCGTCCACGAATGCTGCGGGATAAGGTGGCCTAATTTTTTATAATTTAGTTTTTTTAAGAAAATTTATGTTTGGTTCCCTAAAAGACTTAAACTTATCTTTGGTCTCTAGGGTCGGTGCTGCGAGACTCATGACGCCGGCGTAACACGCGTTTGCGTTACAGATCTTGGACGTTAAGGTGACTAATCGTGCACAGCAAAACATTTTAGGTGACGTTGACGTGACCGATATTTCGTCGCCACTTATCTCGACGCCGAGCTCGTGTGGCCTGGCCGTGCGCGCACGCACATTCTCGCGTTAATAAATTGCCTCCTGCACTTCTGCTGTCCTCCACTGCCGCATTGAAAGAAAATTTCTCGCTTTTCAACGCTGCCCCTCTGTGCGTGGGCGCTCGTCGACGTCAGGGAGGGTCAGGGTGAGGCCCCGCCTGACACGGCCGCGATCAGTTCGCTGTACTGTGCCCGGGCGTACGTGTACTGCTGCGATTTCTCTATCGGCGTTACAGCCGTGATGGGTCCTGATATTTTATATTAATATATTATTAACAAGGTCAACGTGATAATAGGCCAGTCTGCTATTCTCGTGACATGCAATCAATCCCTACTACGTACATGGTGATGGACTGCTGGTGCTGCCGACATGATTCTCGTGACATGCAATCAATCCCGTCCTGCGCCACCGCACGATGTGCTCGTTCCGTCGTTCGTTCGTGCGGGCACCGATATTGGGCCTGTTCGTCGGAACTTAACAGCCGGTTTAATCTAGGCCATGTTTAGTTGACACCAAATTTCTAACTTTAACACTATGCAAAAAGAAGATTCCTGTTATATCAAACTTGCGATACATGTGTATGTAGTACTAAATATTGACGAAATCAAAACTAATTGCACAGTTTGGTTGTACTATCATGAGACGAACGTTTTGAGCCTAATTAGTCAACGATCGGACAATTATTACCAAATACAAACGACGACATGCTAAAGTGCAGCTACAGTGTGCTATAGTGTTTTTTGGCGGCGCCGCAACTAAACATGGCCCTACTGATCGCACATGTACACGCATGCCGCCCAGGCACAGTACAACGAACTGATCGCGGCCGTGTCGGTGGGGCCTCACCCTGACCCTCCCCCCAGGCCACACAAGCTCGACGCCAAGATTCGCCAGTATGTTTTGGCGTGGAGGTACCGGTCACATAAACGCTATTCGAAATGCTCTCACTGCAGCATGGTCGGACACATCGACGCCAAGATTTGTGGTGTCGAGACGTTTTAGCTCGGCACCATGAGTTCGACGTCGTCGACCACGGAGTCCAAAGATGAGTTTAATTCTTTCAGGGAGGCTAAACGTAATTTTTTTTTCAAAAAAGAGCTAAATTGTAAAAAATTAGGGTAAGGTGGTTACTTTGTAAGGATTACTTTTTTTTCGTTTTTCTCTCTTTATTAAAAAATATGAAGCTCTTTTGTGTGTTCCAGAACAGAAAGTTTGTCGTATTGTTTAGAATCCAACGGTATTTGTTTTAAGCTTAGGTTGTCCTCCTCTTTGCAACTTTCAGTTCAAGCAAAATCCGTTGTGTACTCATCTTGTACCTTCTTAATGAGAACTCGACCAGGATTAAACTGTTTCACCCTGTTTTGGATCCTCTTTTCTAAACTTTAGAGCAAAGCTTTAAACATATGTTCTAAAATTAGCTCTAAACTTTAGCCCACCTCAAATTAGAGCTTTAGACATCAAAAGTGAGTTAAAGTGCTCTAAAATTTTTAGAGCTCTAAAGTTTGGAGGAGGAGATCCAAACAACTCCTTACTTATGCTGTCAGTATTATGTGAAAAAAAATGGTTATTAGTGGGCCATCTCTCATTTCTTTGAGGTTTATGAGCATGCAATTATTCACCCTTTTTTTCAATCCGATGCCATATCTCTGTGGGCCATCCGAATAATCTGCGGCCGTTCTTTTCTGTTGACTCCCCATATATGTAATGAATTGTGGTGACCACCCTAATAACATTATCGATCAAGTCTCACTCCTTTTTAAAGAGATTCTGTGTTTGAAAACATGAAAATCCTGGTTGTCACACTGATACGGTGATACCTCACTCTTGGTATTGGAAGTAAAGCATAAGAAGTGAGCCAAACAAATGCCAAGGAATGTCAAAAGGAATTGCCGTCGTTCATATCTCAAACTTTCAGGAAGGTAAGTAAAACACAAAATCATGACGATAGAACGTGCTGAATATTTACTACTATAGCTCTTAGCATACTGCATGTGACAAGAAAGATTACAAAACGAAGTAAAAAAACAATGTATACACAAAAAGGAACTTGAGTGACGTGTTTTGCTGAGACTGACTGATAGGAAAATAAATGATGCAGAGCGTTCTTGTTGACCGACCGGATCACGGTAGCACACTAGCGCTAGATAGTGGGATGTAAGTGGACCAGCTCAGGGACCCGTACATCGTATAGGCTTAATTTTGTGGGTTGTTCATGGCAACGCACACAAAATTTGAATCTCTAGCGCTAGAACTAGAAGCTATAATCGCCATCTTGCCAACAAACAACCTCTATCCACAATGCAAAAGGCTAAAGAATATATGCTTCGCCGTCCTCATCCTAGCTGCTCCAATCACTCGTGTTTTTAAATCCGAAAGCAACAACTCCGGCCGCTCCTGCTGCCGATCAAAGAGCCGCCGTCTTGCCACGCAATCCATCCGGTCATCCAACAAGCAAGACAACGACTGCGGCCGCTGCTAATGCGGCCTGGAGGAGCAACGACGCCGCCGCCGTCGACGTCGCGGCGTCCATCTCGCCGGTGGCCAGGCTGGCCAGCCACGAGTCGCCCTCGAGCTGCACGTCCTTGGGCGTCGGCAAGGGATCCTTGGTCGCCTTCTGGCTGCACAACAGAAATGTCGGGCCACCATGCATGGCTCTGATCAGAACGATTCAGTTCAATCATGTCTAGTAGAGTAGCATTCTCATAAACAAAACACAGATCAGTCAGCAGTGACTGAGATTCCAAGCTTTTCTCGCGCTATCCATGGCTTGCTGTGCCATTGCCAACTAGGCAGGGGCAGCTTTTTAACTCAACTGCCACTAGCGAGGCGACCGGTGACCATACAAGGTGGGCAAGGAACAAAGGTGGTGGCAGCAAAAGATGCAAGGCGAACAATTTAAAGCGCCTCCTATCTCCATCCCAGTTTGATGCTTCTTTTTTTGTCAAAAAATGTATTTTTCTAAGCAATCCGGGAGATGCTCATATCATACTCTCGGGCCATTATGTCCGTCAGTGTCAGGGTCACTGTATCAGTTACTATGAGCTTGTGCCACGCACGCCATAAATATCCCCATTGCAAAACAAAACTCCCCTCAAAAGTCAAAACTGTTGTTGCGTCGAAGTATTTGAATTTCCAGCTGGAATTTGGCTGCTGGGATTCGGTAGATAATAGGCATTTGGCTAGAAAGGTTTCGTTGTGCAGCGAAACTGAAACCAAAACCAAAAGGATTGGAGTCGGTGCACACGCAAAGAAGGCTACCTGTTGGGCGTGCCGGCGCGAGGCGGGCAGAAGGTGATGGAGTAGTCGGTGCCGGTGCAGGTGAAGGTGGAGGTGGCGTCGTCGTAGGCGTAGCTGTAGGAGCGCGGGCACGCCGCCTTGAACATCTGCGAGTACACCGAGGGGCGGCACGTGTCCGGGTTGCCGAACTGGCCGCTGCAGCAGTACTCGGGCGTGCCGAACGCCTCGCACGCACTGCGGCAGGCCTGCGCCTGCCCGCCGCCGGCGCGGAGCTCCGCGGGGCACCGCTCGTTGAGGTCCACCAGGCAGCCCGTGATGGGGCAGCCCGGCGCCGCCGCCTCCACCACCATGGGCAGGTTGTAGCCGTCCACCAGGCTCACGTCGTAGTAGTCCTTGCTGCCGCCGCCGCCCAGCGTGAACTCCGCCAGCGTCGCCGGCGGGGCCGCGCCCCTGCCGCGGCACTCCACCTCGCCCGACCCGCAGTCCCCCGTGGCGCACGCGCCCTTGCCCGACGCGGCGTCGAACGCGCACCCCGTGCGCGCCCAGAACCAACCCGACCACCCCGACGGCGCCGTCAGCGACCGCGTCTCGCCGGGCCCCAGCTCGAACCCCGTCGTCTGCAGCGCCGAGCTCCCGGAGTTGGCCAGCACCCCCGGCCACACCGTGCCGCCACACCGGTTGGTGAACGTGAACGTGATCCCGCCCACCGCCCCTGCATAAGCATGCATGCGCAAAACCATGCATCCGTACGTAAGCCAGCGATCGATACGACTCAAAGCTCAAACTCAGCAAGAAAGAACAATCCACCATTGCCAATAACAGTACCTTGAAAGAACGATAGAATCACGAATGACAGACTAATAATAGCTGAAGCCGCCGAACTCATCGTCAAAGAAGCCATCGCCGAACTCTAACCCAATTTGCACCAACAACAAATTTATTAAATGTATGTATGTGTCAAACAAGGAATATGAGGCTTATCAATTATAGCAAGGGTGACCGAGAAGTTCTTGAAATGGCAGTTGAGCTAACTACCACCAGCACGAGGTCGTGCAGAGTGGAATCGGCCCTAGTGGTAGGGGAGGGTTGGTTAGCTCGTGCACTTGTGTGTAGGCTCACACCTGAGCATTTATAGATCACGATGACGTCATCGACCCACGGCACTACGAGCTCCTTTTGACGGTCCTCAATCCTCATGGGCCAGCAATATAATATGATGCATGCATCGGAGGCCTCGCAGACTGGTTTTTTATAGCGCCCACCCCCCCCCCCCCCACACACACCCACACACACACACACACGCACCCCCAGCAAGAGGGAACTAGCGCCTAGTGTATCGGGCCCAAGAGCAAGCGCACCAGTAGTGGGCTCGCGTCGTTCGACGACGTCGTCGCTCGGCCGCAGAGCTCTTTTCCACGTATTTTATGTGCAACACCCATTCTATTTTTAAACATCTAGACGATTCTGAGTATAAAAAGATGGATGAAACACTTGATACAAGTGTGAACATTTGCAAAAATGCTTGAAAAATATTTTAAAATCATTGCAAACATATACAATATCTAGATGAAACACTTACAAACATATCGTATGGAAATCATGAAAATACTTGAAACATATGCTTGCAACATGCATGTATATGCAACATCCAGATAAAACACTTGCAACATACGTCTAAAAGCAGATGAAATATTTGGAACATACACTTGAAACATACGTGCATAGCCATTATAACATGTGCAACATCCCGATCTACCTTTGCAACATCGATAAACAACACTTGCAATATACCTCTAACACATCTAAAACACTCGAAACATACTATTGCAACATGCACTAGTCAAAGGGATGTCAACGGCCAGCCGTACATCTTCTTGCAGTACGAGCCTCCCCACGCGTGGATGCATGCCTCCCCTTCCGCGATGGGCGAGGTGGATGGAAGCGCGGCACGGGATGACGACGCGACCGCGGAGCGACCAAGGATGGGGCGCGCGAAAGCACCAGGGATGGGCATCAGAAAAGACACCGCCACCGGAGAAGACCATATGGGCGGTAAGAAAGGCCGCCGCGATGGGCGACCCATAGCACATTGTGTTTGTGAAGATGAGCGATTTTTTGAGATACGGAGGCCGAGTGCGGGCATGCTCAAGAAGCAAATGAAAGCCGAGTATGCACGGGTGCGGGACGGATGCCGCATCCTATCGTTACCGTTTTTTAACTATAACGATTTATTTTTATTTTCTTTTTTATAAAGAAGAAAAGGGGAAAAAGAGTCTCTCTCGTAATAGTCGGTTGTTTTAGGTCCTCCAATCAGTCGGTTGTTGGCAGAGCAAAAAAAACAACCAGATTCTACCAGGATCCAGAAACGACTGTTGGAGCAAACAAAAACAAACGAATGTCAAACCCTATGATGTAGATCTAACGGTCAAACAAAACTACAGGCAAATAAACACATCGGCAACTGACAACTAAAAGTTACTAAATCTGTCAACATTTATTAAAGGGCAGCAACTATATGTTTCGCTTACACTAACATTAAAAAAAATTGACTGAAAACTGAAACTAAGAAATTAAAAAAACAACCGGATTCTATCGACCCAGAAATGACTGTCGGAGCAGGCAAAAACAAACGAATTTCAAACCCTATGATGTGGATCCTATGGTTAAACAAAACTATAGGCAAATAGACACCTGGGCAATCAATCTGACAACCGAAAGTTACTAAATCTGACCACATTTATTAAAGGGCAGCAACTAAATGTTTCGCTTACACTATCTTATATAAAATTAAAAACATTGACTGAAAACTGAAACTAAGAAATGAAAAAATTGACTGAAAACTGAAAAAAAAAAAAACAAACTCAAATAACTGAAAATAAAAAACTGAAATCGACAAGCAATAAATAAAACTGAAATTGACAAAGATAAACTAAAAACAAAATTAGACAAAATGAAAATAAAAATACAAAATAACAACAAAAGAAAAGAAAAAGTACCAGCATAGGCTTCTAGGCATGGCCTGGTTGTTACATCTTTATCGACTTTTTGCGTTTCCTCTACAGCGATAACTTTTGCGTTTCCTCTACAGCGATAACTTTTGCGTTTCCTCTACAGCGGCTGCATGCGCCGCCTGCCTACTGACGCGCATGCGCATGGGCCCCACGCCCTTCCTCTCTCTCTGCAAGCTAAACCGGCCCCACGCCTGCCTCCTGACGCGCGGCTACATGCGGCGGCCCTTTCTCCCTCTGCAAGACTGCAATGCATCTATCGGTCCCCACGCCTGCCTGCTGATGCGATTGCACGGCCAGAAATCCGGTGCTGGAGCCGGATGAAACAACCGGGTACAAGATAGCAAATTCTGAAAAAAGAAGAAGGAAAAGTGATGACTTGCTAGGAGTGTCATCATGCCTGTAACGTGGTAAGATAGGAGTACCGTACAAACGAAGCAGCATGGCGTAGCGGTTGGTAGACGAGAAGACGAATGGCGCTCAGCAGGCAGACGATCCCACGATGGTTCGTTTCCGTGGGGGCACTCAGACATATTCGTCTGGACGCCCCGACGAGCTTTCGTTTTCTCAGCGCAATACTGACGGGTGACGAGTCTTCCCTGCGCCCGTCCGTCCGTCCGTCTGTCGTCGGTGGACAGGCGCGTGCGTGAATGCTCGCGATCGGCGCGGTGACCTCACCCCGCGGGCCTCGTCTGGCGTCTGCTGCTCGGCTCCATTCCGGCGTGGCGCTCGCCGGCTTTCGCCCTGCCGTTTGCCTTGTCGCGCTGGAGCAACGCCCATCCCATGGCGAATTCGGCCCGGCACGACCCATTGGTGACGCCAAAGCCTCCGTCGGGAGCAGGCGCCTTGTTCCGGCTTTGCTCAGGAGCCTGATCTCTGATTTTGCATTTTGCGATCGGCGTCAGAGCACCAGTTCTGCACGACTGCCTGCTGTGGAACCAAGACGACGACAAGTACGTGGCTGAGTATACGTGGTTTGGGTGGAGTGTCGGCTGCAGGCAGTGGCGGAGCCGAGGATTTATCTTTCGGTAGCCGGCCGTCGTGAATTATACTTGGGGGCCGGGCTCGGTCTTTTTCATCATGATAATTTTATTATCTAGTTGTGTTTTGTATAATTATATTATCTAGAAGATATTAATAGGTATATATGACAAGAATTTTATATAATCTCCTCTTAATATATAAATAAAAAATATTAAGTCATACTACTATTTTTTTTGTTGTTGTGAAACATTTGGGGGCCATGGCCCCTGCCAGCCCCCCCCTGGCTCCGCCAGTGGCTGCAGGAGGGCATGGTAGCACCAGCCACCAGCGAGCGAGCATCGTTCTCGGGACGTACACGTACGAACGTGTGACAGAGAGCACCCGTGGCGACGTGGCGTACGTCGTGGTCGTGCAACGTTGGATCGGTGCTGGACGCTGCGGTGCTTTTTCTGGAGCAGTGTCCAAGATTCATTGAACGTTCGTGCGTCCCGGCCGGACAACTACTGGTTTCCAGAGCAGCAGCAGTATCGCTAGCTGCGAGATTGCTCCAGCGACAGCTACTGCCGGGGAGCTCTTTCCACCGTACCGTGTGTTCTTTTGTTGCTGCTGCTGTTTCCACCGTGCGTGGCAGCTCAGTAACATGAAAAGCTCGTTCGTTCCAGATATTTCAGCAGGGTACGTACGATCCGTACCTTTTCGCGTGAGAATGATGTGTTCCCACCTTCACCTTGCGCGCACACACACAGAGATGGTTGCGACTCGCGACCGACTTCAGTTTACAGATTTCTACGGTTTACAATTACAAATGTACAATCCTGAGCCCCAGTTTGGAATGCCAGAAATCATCGACTGCTTCTTCTCGATGCCCAGTTTGGAATTCAGACGTCACTCTAGCATTTACTCATCAATAAGTCAAGCTGGAATCTAGGCTTTACGGAAATTTCAAGTTATGCTTTGGATGCTGGCCTAAATCCTTTTTCTTTTCAAAGATCATTGGCATAAATCCCTAATAGTGGTGAACCAACTGCCTGCCTGCCTGCCGAAATGTGTCAAAAGCGTAGCACAATAATACCATTCAGGCATGGCCAAGAATGCTAAGCTGAACATTGTTCGTTTTCTCAGTTTCGTGTGAACATATCCCTGTCCAGCAGCACCCACGATGAAACAGCTGAGAATTGACTTGCCTGCTGAGTGAATCCTCGGTTTGTCTGTCTGTCTTTTTTTTTTTTTTTTTCTCTCCCCTGGGCCTCCGGTCTACACTACAGCATTTCCTTTGTCTTCAGGTGGAAGCAAAAGGAAGCACACGGGCACACCAACCTCAGCACACAATTTGCTGCCGTGTAAAGCGCCCAAGATGATCTACATACATATCGGATAAGAGATTAGGCACTAATACTATCTCCTTGGACCTTTTTTCCGGCTTCGCCTCTCTTCTGTCACACAAAAGGAAAGAACGAAAAGGAAAAGAGGAAACAGGGGAAAGGCCGGAGACATCTCGTGTGTCAGTCTCCACTGTTCTCGAACTGCATTGGCATTGCCAAAGTCCAGCCAGGCGTCCCCATGGCAAATTGGCAAGAAGCAGGTCCCAACTTTGCATAACCCAATCCCCAATCTTCTATCTTCTCTGCATATGGCTCGTTTTATGTCCCCTCAGAACCTGTCACTACAGACTAAGCACTGGGAAATCCTTTGCTTGTCGAGGAGGAGAAATGCATGGGACAGATTCGTTTGACCTGCAAATAGTTGCCCATGCTGCTGCTAACGATCGATGCTGCATGTAGCTAGACAGATATGCTCCTCCTGTGTTCTTGGGCGCATTGCAGGGGAAAGTATCAACGGATCAGATCACGTAAAAAAAAAGAGGGCGCTGAAAAGAGGATCACTGCTATCTTATCGCCAGCACAGGTTC